TACCTCGCCTGCCGACGAGAGCGCCAGTGGACTAACGCTGGGAGCAGAAAAGAGGCTGAGCTTCCGACACCTAGAAGCGAACGCCGTAATGTATGCTCTTCTCAAGCTCTCAAGGTAGGCCCCTCCATGGTTGTCTCTCACTTGCTGGGCGTACTGCAGGTGTTGCACCAAGGAGCGTCGACAAACTTGTGGGGCCTGGCGTGCCCATTTTATTGTGCAGCTCCCGGCTTCGGAGCCTTACTGGCCAGCTTCCTCGCAGGGGCTATTTTGGGCACAGGGTTTGGGGTCTGGTTCGCTGCTAGATTCCTTTTCGGGGCTTCGCTTGCTGAGGAGCCCGCGGCTGCAGCGGCTCCCGTTTTCAGGCCGGCCGACCGGCGACAGGCCAGACTGCGCGCTTACTTGCATGGGTGAGAGCGATCGTCACTGGGACCTCTCGCTGGAAATAGAGGGTCTCTCCCTTAGGCTTAGGGGTCTAAGGCTCTCGCCCGTCTCTGCCGAGCTTTCGGATAGGAGCCCCTCACCTTCCCTTTCGGGTTTTGTGGTTGTAAGCCCTAGGTCCTCAACCCGTGTGCAGCAAGACGACCCATCTGCCGGGTCGGCCTCCCTACCCCTTAGGACCCGTGTGCTCTCGGAAGGACAGGTGCAGCCCTCTGGCTCGTCCGCCCAGCCTCGGGCCTCTCTCCCTGTGCGAGCAGCTTCCTCGGCTACGGCCGTGCCTGAGTACCCCTTGCCCAGCTCGCGGAGCTCCAGGTTTAGCAAGAGGCAGGCTATTGCTTTGGCCTTCCCGCCTTTGCCAGACTACCTCGTGGATTCTTGCCGCCAGCTCTCGGTGGGAAACCTTACTCCCCACCAGCGTGCGAACCGTGCTTGGCTCGCCGGCTGTTGGGCCAAGGCTGTGCTGGAGGAGCAGGTGGACAGGCCTGACCCTTCCGAACCTCTGGACGTGAGCTCGCGATACTACTGTGTGCTGCGCGCTGACGGCGTGCCCTCACCGGTCGTCTGCGCGTCCCTTGCTGCCTTTAGGCGTGTGATAGGCCCCGACTTGGGCCGCTCTGTCACTCACGGCTTCCCTTCGACCTCTGAGTGCCGGGTGTATTTTGCTGCGGCGGCCCTTCCTTTTCCGGACTCCCTGCTCAGGTGATGGACTTTGCCCAGCTGGTGGCCTACGAGTCAGGTTCCCTTGAAGTGTTGGAGTTCTCTTGGCCCCCTACCGCGGAGGACCAGGCGTCGTCATTATGCTCGGCATATGTTATTATGAAACGGCCTTCTGGCTTCTTGCTTTGTATTCCGGAGGGCTTTTTGAGTCAGGAAGAGAGGGACCTTGGGCAGCAACCCGCCGAGGACTCTGGAATAGGCCCCTCTATCGTGGTGTCAGCCTCTCCCGTGATGCTTACCTCAGAGGGGACTTGGGTTGCAGCTTCGGACCAGGAGCGCCTCTCGGCTCTGGTGGTGGACATGGCGGACCATTTGGCCGAGCAGTTGGCCCCGGCGGACTTAGCGGTGGAGGAGCTGGTGTGCTTCCGGCAGGGGCAGCCGATGCTCTTCCCCTTGGCTTCGGAAGTGCTCAGGCAGTCAAAGGAGTGGCTGCTAGGTGCGGAAAATTTTCCCGAGGACAGGTCGGGTTATCATACAGCTGTCTCGGCCACGGAAGCCCCGGCCCAGCGCCCCAAGCCTCCGAAGCCGAAGCGCCCCACGGTGCAGCAGCTGGCAGCCCAGCAAAGCCAGATGATGCAGCTTATGACTTCCGTCGTGGAGCGCCTCGACAGTTTGCAAGTCTCAGCGTCACGGGCTCCCGGGCCCACAGGTCAGGCCGCCCCTGCCCCCCCTGCAGCGGTGAACACAGCGATTCTGCAAAAGCCTTTGGCCTCAGCTCTCCCCCCGGTTTCGGCTGCCCCTCGCTCCTTGGCGCAGGCAATAGGACCTCCGCCCCCTACCCGTGCTCAGCCCCCGGCCGCGCCCATGCAAGTGGACCTGGAGGAG